GCTTTTTGACATGATAAAAACTGGAGGAAGTGTGTAATACATTCTTAAATGCTTTTGAAATATTCCTCTGTGACTTACTTTTAAAAGCATCCTTTGCAATGCTTTTCAATCTTTTATCTTTTCTCCTAATAGCCATCTGAGTTCTCACCAGGCTTTTTCTTTGTGACAAACCTGAAAACCCTTCATTAAAAGGGTACAAGTTTGATGCTATTGATGTGCTAGAATCACAGGTGACCAGCAGTCATGAAATACTTGAAGTGAAAGTAATCCAAGATGAGGAGATAATTAATAAGAAGTTTGTTTTATATTCCTGGTGCCTTTTACAAAAGAAATAGCAAGAGTACAGTAATTGTTCACCTTGTGCACAAGGTTGGCTCATTGGTATAAGCTGAATTTCCTTTTTTATTATTATTTTATTTCTTTGCCTAGTTGGTGTATTTAGGGGTAACAATTCTGCCAAATTTTGCATGCAACATTATTCACTAATTTTGGCGCAAGCAAAAATTGTTGTGACATACAGTGCCTACCAAGGAATTGCCAGATAAAAATGCAGAATGAATTGAAAGGAACCATAACAACTCTGCTGTGTAAACTCTCAGTGCCTGTTCCTAGAGATTATAGAGCTCTGCCACTGTCCCGATAGCCAAGGTTTCACAACACCGTGACCATATGGAAATTCCCTACCTTACCCCTTGTTTGCACCCTGTTGCACAACTACATAATAAACAATTTCTAATAATCCAGTGTTTGACCCAATGGAAGTAGGGGGCTCCTTGCCCAGGGACTTTGTTTTGCTGTTGTCATGTTAAGTTGTAAAATTCAGGCATAAAAGCTGAACTCCCTGCTAACAAACTTTGTTTAACTTTTGGCAGACAAATGCAATTTTAAATGTGTAAACACACACAAAGACAAAGCATTTTCTTATCTTTCTCTTTGTTCACTGGGATGACTATTTGGAGGGGCTATAGTATGCTCAGAATAAAATTATATCCACAGATTTTATGTCAAAACAGATGTGAACTTGGTCTTTGTCATAGTCTTTGTAGCTTTCTTAATGTACTCTTTATTTTGTTGCAGTGATTTTTATACATCTCTCACCTTTTCAAAGCCAATCATGTTCTGTTGTCTTCATTTACTAGAATTAAGAATTTTTCTGAGAAAACCTGGAAACTTGCCAAAATGACATTTGCCTTGTTTTTCAGGTACAGTCATCAGTAGCAGTGGGCACTCCTGACTACATCTCTCCTGAGATACTGCAAGCAATGGAAGATGGAATGGGCAAATATGGGCCTGAATGTGACTGGTGGTCACTGGGTGTCTGCATGTATGAAATGCTTTATGGTGAAACACCCTTTTATGCAGAGTCCCTGGTGGAAACCTATGGGAAGATTATGAATCACGAAGTAAGAAATGTATTCAATCTATGCGTATGTACTGGGGAAACTGTTGTCACTTAAGTTGTTCAAGTGCTGGTGGTTTTGTGTGTTCTCACAATGGTTTAGAACCAGACCTAATTGTGTATGTTTATTAGTTAGGAATGCTTGCTTTTCTGAATTGCAGAAGTTGAATTCTCTCTTAAAATGATAATCCAAATGGTGATTCTGTTTTTGAAAAATACTTAATAACTCGTCAAAAAGTAAAAATTAAAACCCTTAGATAAGGGCAAAAATAGTTTATTCGACACTGCATAAAAATGAAGTAATGTGTTATTCACAGAGCTGTGCACATTTACCATCACACAGATAGTCAGTACAAAATGAAAACAGGCAAGTCAAATAGTGTGGACTTAGTTGCATTAAAACATGAGGTCAGGAGTTTGCCCAGACAAGAAGAGATGGAAAAATGTTGGAACTTCTGGGTGTGTTTGGGCCATTAGGGAGTAAGAATAAACCAGTTCATGGTGTCCTTCTGAGAGTTTTATTAGCAGGATGGGCACATTCACCCTTGGGTAACCAGAAGCTGTTGTGTAGGGTGTGTTGTTGTGCTTTCTCCTCCCAAGATGAGTGTAGTTTCAGTCTTATCACTGTGTCACTGTGAGAGCACAGTGTTGTTTAATAAGACATGAAATCCTACTAGAGTTGAAACACTAGCAGTGATAGATATTCATCTCTCTTTTTGCTTTAATTTCTTCAATAAACTAATTGATGGCACCCTTTATTAATTATACTGAAATATGGGACTAACAGTGGTAACTCATGGCTGCCAGGCCCTTAATCTACTAGTTTGGAAGCATTTGAAGCTCTTATGCTACAGTCTTGATATTGTAATCTCATTTAGACACAGTGAACATGATTTTATATTTTTTACTGATTATTTTAAGATTAATCTGCTTTATTCTGTCTTGGTCCATAATTGTCTCATTTCAAGCTTGAAAATAAATAAATATGTTATTGTCCCTTCTTGAGAAACCAAACCAAAAGGAAAATAAAAATCTTCTTGGCTATACAATAGATAAAAATAACTTTATAGATAAAAATAACTTTTCTGGAGTAATTCTATATATTATTGATAACTATGTTTTAAGAACCTGTTTGTTGATTATGATATAAATCTTTGTAAGATATAGATTTTTCTATTAAAATCTAAAGATATTTAATGCATAAATTAGCAAAATATGTCTTTATATTTAAAAATGTTTTGTGGAAGAATAGCAAGCATCATGTTTTTTTAAGAGCTGCAATTAATGAAACCTCAGAGTAGTCCTTCAGCAAATTATCTGGATCTGGATCTGTATGTAAGAATACCAATGAATATCTACCTTTATTTCATGGCCTTTAATACTAGAAAATATAGGAGTTTATTCATATGTCTTATGAAAATATTTGCTTTTTCTTACAGTATTACTGTAAATTCAGCTAGATCTCTGTTATAGGAATTGAGAAGTGGTTGCTTGTCCTTAAAATCCATTTTAAGATTAAAAAGACTACCACTGAATGTACTGTATTGTGCTTTGCCTCCTCTCACTAGAACTAGAACAATGTCTACTTATTCATTTCCAATGTTGTTGACGTAATTCAGCACTTTCTTTCTGAAACCACTGTGGCAAATTGTGAAGTGGATCTCTTCTATAAAAAAGTCTTCAACTGTTTCCTGTCTGTTTTCTAGGAGCGATTTCAGTTTCCATCCCATGTTACAGATGTATCTGAAGAAGCAAAAGATCTTATTCAGCGACTTATCTGCAGTAGAGAACGTAGACTGGGACAGAATGGAATAGAAGATTTTAAGTCTCATGCGTTTTTTGAAGGACTTAATTGGGACAACATCCGAAACCTAGAAGCACCTTATATTCCAGATGTTAGCAGTCCTTCTGACACATCAAACTTTGATGTAGATGATGATGTATTAAGAAATCCAGTGAGTCTCTTACTAAAATATTAGTACAAGTATTTGCTGCAATGTATGGTAGTAGTGAGAACTTGTTTAAAGCAAATTAGCTTTTATGAAAGGAGTATATGGAAAAAAATGTTAATAAGTTGTGATAAGTAAAATAAGAGGGTTTATTTTTAGTTCTAAAAGCTGTGAAAGTGTTTTCTGAGTCTAGCAAACTTACTGAACTTTCATATGGATATACACTGTGGTATAGTCTTAGATCAGCAGATAGTATTCTTATTGCAGTCATAATGATGTGAATCCTCACAGCATAGAGCTGGTCTGAGAAATTTCAAAAAGAACCATGCTCCGTTAAACTTTGGAACTGATCCATTTTTGTGTTTTTTATTGTTTAGAAGAGAAGCTAACAATTTCTGAATACACAAATGACATAAGGATGAAATAGTTTGTTTCAAAATTGAAATGATATGATTGATTTATTTTAGTATTGAAAAACATGGTCAATCAAAATCAAAATGCATTTAGAAGGACAAAAAGTCCCTTTTCGGAGCTTGTATTTCCATTTATTCATTATCAAAGGGGAATAAAATTCCTGGATCTTCAAAATACACATATATTCACCCTGAAGCTTCTAATTGCAGCTGTCCAGGTGATACAAGCTCACATTGCTGCAGCTACTGCTTTAGTCCCTTAGGAACAAAGGGCTTGGTTTGGAGGAAGTGCTAACTTGTGTGGGTTTGGGTTTTGTGGTTTATGAACGACTGTCAGGAAGAGCAGAGGTTCGTGTGCAACTTCTTCAGGAGTTCACATACCAAGAGTCAAGGAAGCTTTGACTTGTTTTTTAATTACCTGTCTAACAGTAACTAAAATGCTAAAACAGAAACACATGTTTTGATGCTAGTTCTAATTAGGAATTTGAAGTTTGGTATTTTCTTTTAATGGTTGCATTATGCTTTGAACTTGTCAAAATGCTGCCCTTCTGAGTGCTGGTTTGGGAAAAAGAAAGTCCTAAATTCAGGTCATTATGCTAAGAGATGCAATCTGTAATATAGTTCCTACAGGGATGATGGAAGGGTAGGCAGTAAAGAATGACTGCAGTTGTGCACTGCTATGCAGCAAGGAAGGTCTTTCCCATAGCTGCATCTCTTCAACCATTGAGCCTAAGTCAAAAGCCTTTTGCTTCCTATGGGTTCTCTTTGGGGTTTTCATGACTGTTGTTTTTATGCAGGAAGTGGTACCACCAAGTTCTCATACAGGCTTCTCCGGATTGCATTTACCATTCGTTGGGTTTACATACACAACTGATAGGTAAGCAAAGGGTATGTTGTTCTTTAAACCTGTTTCCCAAATGCACCTAATTCTATAACATCTCATTTTTGTAAATATGTAGAAAGATTGATGTGTATGGATGTACTTCTGGGTAAATCATCATCCCAATTTTTAAAGTATCCAAGTCTATGTTGCCCAGGATTTAGATACCTTCATATATTTAACGTAATATCTATTTGAATTGGATGAAACTTATGGGACTAGATGTGGCCCTTGCAGGCAGGTACAAACTCGCTCTTCCCGCGTTAAGAGGAGCTGAGAGTAGGTCTTGCCCTTGTGCCATGTTTGGCAGAAGCAGTTTACTGAGGCTCTTGCCCCAGTGCCCTTCTCATAAGCTAAGATAACATAACTTAGTGCTGCTCTAAGGCTGGTCCATGGTTTTTAGGTGCTTACAGATGCAGCTCACTTTCTCCCTCCTTAAATGGTGAAGAGCTTCCCTCTGACCACAAAGGCTCCTCATCCATATTCTTGTGACTCTTCTTTTGAGATTATTTGACTCTATTTGTTACTGCTTCGTTCTGCATTGCTGGAGTTTGTTCCTCCCCATGATATTGCCAGCAGAAAGGGCCTGGTACCTGCATCTCATCCTTTTCAGAATTAGATCATGTGGCTTAACCTGAATCCATCTCTGTCAGCACTTGAAACTAAACTGTTCTATGTCTCAGCTCTTTCAGTGCAGGTACACCCTTCCATTCCTCTTCTTTTGCTCTCAAGTAGTAGCCTTTAGCTAAAGAGAGTTAACATTTTTAATCATTCAAACAATTTGCAAAGTGAACATACATCAACATCACCGATGTTCCAAAAGCAAGTATCTTAATTCTGTCGAGGGAATATCGAGGGAATAATAACTATATCTACCCTGGCAGTTATCTGAACTGTAACGATTGTTATATGAATTGTTTGTATAAATTTGATGTGTCTGTGGCATCACAGCATGTTGCTGTTACAGACTGCTTTGAAAATTCATGAAAATCTTTTTAACTTATGTGTTTGGTTGCAGTTCTTTATCTGATAGAGGCTCCTTAAAGAGTGCAATGCAGTCAGACACTGTAACCAAAGATATGGATGCACAGCGTGACTTAAAGAACAGTTCACAAATAGAAGGTTATGAAAAGAAAATACGGAAATTGGAGCAAGAAAAGCAGGATTTGAGCAGGAAATTGCAAGGTTAGTGGTATATATTTGTGTGAATTCTTGGCTCTGCTCTTTAGAAGGAATTTGAATGTATTTAGTTGAACATCTTTTTGTTTTTTCCCCTTCTTTTTTTTTAATTTAAGAATCTACACAGACAATGCAGAACCTGCAAGGTCCAGTATCTGTTACAGTAAATGCCAACCGTGATAAGGAAATAAAAAAATTAAATGAAGAAATTGAACGGTTGAAGAACAAATTAACAGGTAAGTCCCTGGCATGATAAGTTTTAGTAAGAGTCATGCGGTTTAATGTTACTAGCCAGTAGCAAAATATCTGTTGTGTTTTTGTAGTGTATTTGTACTAAGCAGAAATAACATTCTGGCGTTGCTCAAGAAAAGAGATTTTCTGCAGTCTTGCTTTGTATTTAGAGACATTTCATTTTTTTTCAAATAAGCACTTACCTTTTTCTTCCATTTCCTTGGCTTGATATCATGCACTGGAGTGGGAAGTGTAGAGTACAAGGAATCAGCTAGATGGAGTCAATTAGTGTTTATGTAATGTTCATTTCCATAAAAATCCCAGCAGTTCCTGTTATCCACCTTCTTGTTTGGGAGAAGTGTGTTTTTGGAGGAGTTCTACTGGAGGAAGATGTAAGAGATTGTGAGGGGAGAGGAGTTGTCCTTTGGTAACGTAAAGGGAAGGCTAACTTCCCCCTCCTGTGTATTTATTTTATTATTTATTTGTTGGTCTGGTGATGCAGTAATTGAGAAGCATCACTGAAAATCAAATTCTGGCATCAGTCGTGAGAGAAAACTGACTCATCCGTATCACTGAAGAAGTGTAGCTTGATAGTGCTATTGCTTATCCATGCAAATCTCCTGTTAGTGTCCATTTTTTATGCGGGAATCAGTGGTAAATTAAGTGGCAGCTTTGAATGGTAATGAGTTGGCTCTGAGAGCTTTGTAGTGGCCTGTAGCATTCCTCAAGTGAGTTCAGCTGCTGATGTCCATGCCCTCCATCCCTTGTACTCCATTTGGGTTGTATTCACCACTGTTTTTTTTTTTACATCAGGCGATTTTTATTTTTTTCCTACTTCCAGGCTTCTGGTATTCTCTTATCTTTGTGTGTCACAGTTATCAGCCAAAGCTCTCTTTCTTTTTTCCCTCAGCAGTTTGAGTAGATGGATCTATTGCAGAATCAGTTTTGCTCTCCAAAGCAGATGACAAGAAAAACTATTCTTGTCCAGCTAGTCTGGAGTCAAATAGTCAGATTATGGGGTTGCTTCTTCAAGTAGGTCAGGCTTATCCAACTCTTCAGCCTGTGGTGTGCTGTTAAATGTAAGCAAGAGCAGCTTAGTGTTATTTAAAAGGAAATATCATTGGCTGGGGTGAAGTGGGGAAGGGTTTTAGCTTTGTACTAAAATCCATAAAGGAGTGATACTCTAATTACAGCAGTACTGGGGATGTCTGAATATAAGGGGTGTGTGTGTGTGTATATATATATGAATACAAGTCCAATTTCCTCTTCTGCCACAAACATCAGTGGAACCTTGAGCAAGGCAGTTGTTCCCTTTGTAGTTTATCCTTTATTCGTTTAAAAGGAATAATAATTAAAACCAAGTGAGAAATGGCATTTCGCTTTCTTACCGATTTTAAGCTAGAGCAGAACTACATGAAGTTGGTTAATTCTTGTGTTTGAAGTGATTGTTTCAAATCAAAATTCTCCGAGACCAAAGGGAAAACTGTAAGGAGAACATGGTGGCAGGAACGTGGGTAGTTGGGACTCCAATCTGCCTCATGCAGGGCAGTATTTCTTTCCCATATTGTCAGCACTTCTGTCTTCTAGGAAATAGTTCTTTTCTGTCTGGGTGGATGCACTGGTGATTATATTCTTAGTGTCATGTGATGAAAACTGTAGAATTATAGAACTGGAAATCAAATAATTCAAGTTTAATTTTATGTTGTCAAGAGCTAGCAACTGCATTCCTCACAAAACAAATCCGTGTGCTAAAAGACTTTTTCAGTTCAAGACAAAGTTCTGTACAAAGCTTTTTCAGTTCAGGAGAAGTGAAAGTTCTTTGACAGGGTTTTTTTTTAATATGCTGAGAAAGTTAAAATGATATGGCACTTTCAGTGCCACAAAAATACCTTAAGTTGTCTAAGACTCTGGAAATGAGAAAAGACAGAAATTTAACGATTAAGTTTCCTAGCCAAGATGATGCCAGCGTGCTTGTCTAATGTTGCTTACTTTCTTGATATAAATTTGAAACGAGCTACCTTTAGAATTTATTTCTCTACAGATATTAGTAAACTGGAAGGACAGCTTGCAGATGCAGTGGCTTTTCGGCAAGAACATGAAGACTCCATACACAAATTAAAAGGGCTGGAGAAACAGTGCAGAGTACTGCGGCAAGAGAAGGAGGACCTTCACAAGGTAGTGGTCTCAACGTGTACACCTCTAGAAAGTGCCACTTAAAGTAGTCCTAGAGCAGCTTCATTGCAACTGCAATTTTAGTGTTTAAAATGCTGCTTTTTTAACCTGCTGAGATGTCACTGAATCTGTTAAGTGTATCACTGGATTACTTAAAAAAATTTCTTCACTGAAAGTTGTTAGGAGTCTTATTAAAGTGTGTTCGTTCTATTTGCTGTGACAATCAGCTTTTAATACTGCCTTCTTCGTAGGTTATTTTTTGAAGGCAATGGAATGTTACATACCCAGAAAGGGTGGGGGGGGAAGAGACTGTTGGAGCTAATAGACTATATAGCTAAATAAATGTCTGTAAAGCTAGATTGCACACAGTTTGCCCAAGAATATGGATATTAAGTTTGAAACTGTCTGGGGCAGGGTCTGAAGAAAGCTGTGTTTTGGTGTTTTGTTTTTTGGTGTTTTTTTATTAAATATTTGATTCCTTTCAAGATACACAATTATATACCAATGTACACAGTTGAATTTGCAGATCTGTGACTAGCAGTTAGTTCTGTAGGTACTGAAAAGCATATATATGAATGAGTTAATGGAGCTAAATTACTGTTCCAGCTTGAGCCCACTTTTTGTAATACCAAAAAAAGTTTGTTTAAGGCCAAGGATAGCTTATGAAATTGATGGGGTTACTAAGTGTTGTGTAAATTACACCCTTGTTCCTTAAAATGTAACAGCATTTTATTTGAGTCATCAAAATATTTTAGTTTGAAATAACTAGTGGTGTAGTGTATGTTACTTGTCATTTTCAGTAGTGTGAGGCAGTGCCACCTGCATACAAGCAGCCAGGTTTCAAGAGGCTGAGCAGCCTTACTGCTTGTGGGGTGCTAAGACGCACCAGAAGGGACCCATGGGACAAGATCCTGGAGTCATCGTGCCTTGTTTTTGAGGGCACTTTTAATTCTTGTCCGCTAGAATTCAGCAGCCTCTCTTCTGTCTATAAACCGTGGGTAAGAGTTATCCATCACAGGATATGACTAGCGGAGCAGCTGATTCTCTTCCTCCTCATCTGAACTTCTGCCTTTTTAAAAGTAACTGATCACCCTTGAATTTCAGTGCTAATGGTAAAAATCTGTATAGGACCCTTGGCCAGAGGACATTTAATTTGGAGTATAGATCTAATTTTTTTTTTCCCCTCCATTTTTATTTTCAGCCTCCTGTGATTTTATGTAGAACATTCAATTTGTATTTGAATCTTGTTAATTTATGTTAATTTCTTGCTGTAAATGCAACAGTTTTTGTAGTTTCAGTTAAAGCTTCACAGTTATTCTGAGGAATATTCCTCAGAGTTTTCTGAATAATTGAAGAATTTCACAAGGCATGCAGGAGCAGCACTGACAGTGTATTTGATGATTTCCCTGACTTTGCAGTCTGCTAAAACGTTTTTTAAAAATATACATATTACTGTGCAGGTATATTGTGACAGAATAAAATGAAACTGTTAGGGAGGTGACCCCTCTAGTCAGATTTATAAGAAATACTTTTGGAATAGCAAAGATGCTCCTAGAACTGCAAACCTAGAAGTGGAAAGTCTGCCTTGCAGTTTTCTAAAATAGTAACGTTGGACTATAGGAAAGAATAACTGCTGTCTTGATACAGTAGTATCAAGACTTACTGCAGCTGCCCATCCAAAAGAAAATTGTGTAAGTTAACTTGTAGAAATAGTATTTGGAAGTTATTTGAGGTAGCTAAGCTTTTGAGTCATGCTTATGTATTTCCACTTCGTTCATGGAAAAAGTTATGGACTCCAATTTTTAATTCGTTTCCTCTTTTAACCAGCAACTCGTAGAAGCCTCAGAGAGACTAAAGACCCAATCCAAAGAACTGAGGGATGCCCATCAGCAGAGAAAGCTGGCCGTGCAGGAGTTCTCCGAGCTCAGTGAGAGGGTGGGGGACCTGCGCTCGCAGAAGCAGAAGCTCTCCCGGCAGCTTCGCGACAAAGAGGAGGAGGTCGAGGTCAGCATGCAGAAAATCGATGCCATGCGACAGGACATCCGTAAATCGGAGAAAATCAGAAAAGAGGTAGCCTGACAAAAGCTAACAATAAATTGTTTCAGCTGCTGCTTATGTATTTTTTTTTTATGTGTGACTATATTAAAAAATCAGGAGCATTAACTATAATTTATTTCATCTGTAAGAAATTGCCCTGGCAAGTTTTTCATATCATTCTGATACAGTTCACAAAATAGATCTTTCATTTTTCTCTAAATGATTGGTTAATGTATCAGGAAATTAACAGGTTCTTCTCTTTTCTTTGATTATAATCAGGTTGATTTTAATCTGGGGAAAACAATTCTTGCTATATGCCCAGCTTCTTAGTTCTTTAGCTGTGTTTGATTGTTTTAGACTCCAAGTCACTGTCAGCTTGAAACCTAAGAAATTTAATATCGTGATTTGGCTCAGTGGAGTACTGACTCTCTTAGCAGAATTCTTCTCTTCAATTTGAGAAAAGAATAATGATGCAGACTAAATCATTCAAAATGTAGTCTGAGTTCATTATTTTTGATCCACAATTGAAAACATCATCCGTTTAAAAACAATTTTGTTAAATTTGAAAGCACAAAAACAAAACTTACTCTTGGGTTTTGGAACAGGGTCACTATTCCCTGAATTTCAACAGTTGCCACTAAATTGCCTTTCTGATGTATCTCGCAAATATGGAACAAACTAAACTTGCAAAGCAGCACATTGATCCACTTCAAGAAAAAACTTATGCATCAGAAAGGCAATTTAGTGGCAGCTGTTGAAGTTCAGGGAATAGTGACCCTGTGCTAAATCGTAAAATACTGGTGAGAATACTGAAAACTTGTATCTCGCAAATATGGAACAAAGTAAACTTGCAAAACAACACATTGATCCACTTCAAGAAAAAACTTACAAATTTTCTGTATTCTCACCAGAAGTATTTTACAATTGTGTTCAAATACCAGAATTTTTCTCAGCGGCCTTAGTGTAGATATTAATAGTGAGAAGTGGAGCTGACCTGTCAATGTAGAAGGCTTGCTTCTTCCAAACAGCAATGAACTTCCTAGTGCCACTTCTTATGAGAAAAAGAAGTTGCGCAGTTGTCCCCAAGCAAATAGTTTATATGGATACAAAAACTCATCTGGTAGTAGTTCTTTGTCACTGATGCCTGGAATGCTGTAGGCAAAACATTATCATGACATTCTGAGATAGTAGTTACAGTGGGATAATGAAGATAGAAGTAGAAAAAAAGAGGGTGGTTTTTGTGGTGTGGTTTGTGTTTGTTTGTTCTTGCGTGTGTGTTTATTTTATTTTGTTTTCCCCGATGGCCAGCAACCTGGTCCCTATAGAAGAGAGGAATACAGGTAGCACAGTTTTATGTTGAAATGACTTTTAATTGCTCTCACTGTAGTTGGAAGCTCAGCTGGAAGAAGTTGCAGCAGAAGCATCAAAAGAACGCAAACTGCGTGAGCACAGTGAGGTCTTCTCTAAACAGCTGGAGAATGAACTGGAAGCTCTAAAGGTGATTTCATTTTTGTTTTTTTAAACCATTTTTTACTCGTAATACAACACCCGCAATAGCTTTGCTTATTCAACTGTTCATACTTGTGGGGCATCTAAGAACTACAGAATTAGTGGAAACATGACCTAACCTGTTCAGATTTATATCCTTTTTTTCTTTAAATACTTTAATATTGGTAATTCATATCTTTTAAACTGGAGATTATGGATACTACTGCCTTGAAAATGGGCAGTTTATATCAAATTCTAAGCATCTGTTAAGCTTGCATAGTCCAAATGCAGGTATCTACAGTCCCCTCAAGCTGTTCTTTAGGGTCATATAAGCATGACCTACTGGAGCAAGTCCAGCAAAGGGCCACTAAGATAGTTAAGGGACTAGAGCACCTCTTACATGAGAAGGGGCTGAGAGAGCTGGAACTATTTAGCCCGGAGAAGAGAAGGCTGAAGGGTGAGAAGGCTTTTTGTGAGGGTGACAGAGCACTGCAACAGGTTGCTCAGAGAGGCTATGGGGGTATTCACTATCAGAGTTATCCAGAATCGGTCTGGACACAGTTCTGGGCAGCCTGAACTAGGTGACCCTGCTAGAGCAGGAGGATTTGACTTGGATGATTTCTAAGGGTTTTTTCTGACCTCAACCATTTGTGATCCTGGGAAGTAGAGCAGTCACTCATGGGGCTCAGGGCTTGAGGATGGGAACCTTTTAACTCGCTTATCACCCAAATAACACGTTTTACAAAGTTTGCCCATTGGACAGTTCTGCTTTTGTATAATGTTCCAAAACACAAAAATTATAGTTTCTTCCTGATTTCTTGGATGCAGTTGAAACAGGGAGGCCGGGCAGCAGGTGTCACACTAGAACATCAGCAGGAGCTTTCCAAAATGAAGTCTGAGCTGGAGAAAAAAATCTTATTTTATGAAGAGGAGCTGGTCCGACGAGAAGCATCACATGTCTTGGAAGTAAAAAATGTAAAAAAGGAAGTACATGATTCAGAGAGCCATCAGCTCGCGCTGCAGAAGGAGATCATGATATTAAAGGATAAACTAGAGAAAGCAAAGCGAGAGAGGTAAGTTTTTGAGCATAATTGATTAATTATAGATTAATTATTTTATGTCACAGCATAAGTGACCCTGCAAAATTGCCATTTCACCTCAGTTCTATTTATTCCTTTTGAAAATCTCAGTTTAAATTTCAGTAGTGTTGCAGCTCAAGTATTTCAATCTTTTTGTCCCTCTCTAGGCACAATGAGATGGAGGAAGCAGTAGGAACAATGAAAGAGAAATATGAGCGTGAAAGATCTATGCTCTTGGAAGATAACAAAAAGCTAACAACAGAAAATGAGAGGGTAATTATTTTAGGAATCACTCTTAAAATAAATTCTTTTGTTACCTTTAATACTGTAATAGTCTATCCACTGATTCGAAACAGAATCTGTAGTTGTTCAGGCAGTACCCTAATAAAGCAGATGTAACTAAGGTCATATACATGTGTCAGAAATGTAACTAAATAATAACTGTAGCCTCTATATACTGTTCTTTGTGGAATTGATTCCCACAACTCAGAGGCCTTCCGATTCCTTCGTGTAGGCTGCACAGAACAGGAAGCATGACTGCCTCCTTGATTGCTTTCTGTTAAGCTTTACTGCTCACGATGGCCTCTTCTGGATTATTTTGTGTGAAGCAGCAATGTATTCTGCTATGCTCAGAAGCCAGTCTCCAGCTGCAGAAAAACAAATATCTTCTAGTTCTCTGGTTGTTGCGTTTAGAACTTGCAAACAGCCCAGAGTTGTCTTGCTTGTTCAGATTCTATACATGCTTGTACATACACACACAAAAAAGTCTGTAGCTAACATGAGCTACAGGTGAAATTAATCTTTTGTTTCAGCTTTGCTCCTTTGTGGATAAATTGACAGCACAGAACAGGCAGCTAGAGGATGAGCTCCAAGACCTAGCAGCAAAGAAGGAATCTGTTGCTCACTGGGAAGCTCAGATTGCCGAAATTATTCAATGGTATGTTTTATTTACAAATCTCAATGGCCATTTTCTGTTTTTAAAATATTTACTGGGCTTATTCGTGTACAGTAGCCAAGCCCTTTCAGTGTGTCTCGTATCAATGAAATGATATTCATGTGAATGTTGATAATCTGTTCCTCTTTTCTTCGGAGTAGAACTGAGTAGTAAGACAATTAGAATTGTCAAATACTATTGTGGGTTACTAAATGAAATTGTCAGATACTATTAAGTATTGGATGATTTGTTAAATTTTGTTGTCAGCTTGCATCAAACTTTACAGTGAGAGCAAGTTCATCCAATTTCTTCCAGACTATTTTGATAAATTCATTCAGGAAAGGTGGTCATGATTTACAGGGTACACTTTAAAATATAAAAACAGTCGCTCTGCCAGCAGCCCCCAGAGGGATCTTGTTTTTCTCCCCTGACACTTATTTCCATATACCCAAAAACAAGCACTTGAATGTAACTCGCAGGTCAGTGTGTCCTTCTGTCATTTGTTCAGTTAGTAAGCCATGTGCAAGTACCTTCAGTGCAGGGTACTTGGTCATTGGTATATGTTTGCTTTTTGCATTCATTCTGCTGGCTGAAGTTGAATGCTTGTCCAGGGTAGGTCTTGTCTGTTTAGGTAGGTCAGCGTTTTTTTAGTGAAATGCATTTTTAGTTGCTGGACGATATTTATCATATTTCAGATAGTAAAGGGATTGCGGGGTGAGGAGTTCATAGGGTGGGTATATCTGCCCTTCCAGATGTTTTAGGAGGCCTTGAAGGTGATCTTTAGGGGAAAAAAAAGACAAACAAGGTGATAATATGTAGATCAAGCTCCAAATAACAGTGGATTTCTGCAGAATTGTTGTTGATGACTGAAGGGAAGCTTCAGTTTCCCTGACAACTGCCGCAATCAAGATCAGATAGAAAAAGATAAAGAAGGCCCTCTAGGTGGTTCAGGTTTCTGTGTCTAGGACTGTTTTGTCGTCTTTGTCCACTTTTGCTACATCCCTAAACCCTGTGCAGACACTCTAATCTTGGGTGATAAAGTATGTGGTGCCATGAGCCATAAAACTATCAAGTAACTGTTTTTTATAATTGCACACTAGGGTAAGTGATGAGAAGGATGCTCGTGGCTATCTCCAGGCATTAGCTTCCAAGATGACAGAAGAACTAGAATCATTAAGAAGTTCCAGTCTGGGATCAAGAACACTGGTAAGAAAATAGAAAGCATTCAGTCTGCTTTGGGATGTCTAAAAAGCTAATTTTTTGGTTTTGCCACTTATTCATCTCTACTCACATATTAAGGAGAAAAAAGTCATGTGAACAATCAAAACTTTTTTCTGTTAAAGCTTCTGCTTGTTCAATGACTTCCTAGTTTTGAATTACTTGGGTCACCTCATCAGAGTTTGATGATACTATGAGAGAGTGGTTTCTTACTAATATCTGTCACTGCAAATTGCTTTTAAACAGTGTAGGTAGAGGAGAAGCAATAATTAAACCTATGAAGGACAGTATGAAAATGCCTCTCAGCTCACCAGGTCAGATGCACAAGAATAATTTTAATCGCTATTACAGTGAGATAACGAAGAATTTTCTTCTCTGGTTCAAAATTGGCTGGTCGGTGTTATTGTGACCTAATAACTCATTTGAGATCACATTAGGTTTTTATGTATCTGTAGAACAATGAGACCCAGAGCCATATTTTTTCTATGTTGGCAGGAACATGATTTCCCAAATTTTTTGTCAAATAGAAGAGAGGTGAAGACCTCATCAGAGTGAACAGTTCCTAAGGGAAAAATGATTTTTGTCGTGGCTAGCACTAAACACCTGCTTAAGGAAGGGAAGAGCCATTTGCAGCCCAGTGTGGAAACCTGTGTACTTAGCAGTGCTAATTAGCATCACTGAGCAGTCATAGAAAAAAACAAGCTGCTGTTCGTTTATATGGAGTTACTCATCCTTTCTAAATACGTGAATATCGGAAAACAAGAGAAAATTGTCATTTCCTCTGAGTTACCCTTTGGCTTCATCAAAATGGGATGCTCTAACATGTCATGAAGTGTGGTAGGAAGAAGGATCAGATCAGATGCAGTAGGCATTATTTTCCTCTTGGCGACTGCTGGAATAAGGAATGCTGTCTGTTCTTTGTAATGCAGCTGATTTTGTAATGTCAGCAGAACTGGATCACAGGCAATTATTTCTCAGTATAAGAAAGGCCTGTCCTTTTCCTGAGAATGCAGCTTGCAGGTTCATGCCTGGCTAGAGATCTATTAAGAAATAGTCCACAGTGCGGATGAAGTCCATACAGAAAAATGATTGGAAAAGTGTGAACATTTAGCTGAGAGGAGGGGGCTGAGTTTCATAGTGTATGCCAAAGCATAGTGTATGCTACATAACAAGAATAATAATCATTTAGGAAAACACTCTAGATAGCCTGGGTTTTGAGATATTAGGATATTTCTTTTGGTTTTCTTTCCTCATATTTTTACCACTATCAGTCTTACCCTGTTTTTATTAAATGCTTACATGAATGAAACCAGCTATTTTCACTGGGTGCTCTCAGTTTGATTTTCATGCCCAGTGCTAAAGCCTTTTTCTTTCAAGCATATTGTGTTAGTGGTTTAACCATTATAAAAATTGCCCATTCCCTCATTAACCTGAGGTCTGCCTGTAAATTGATTTCCATGTAACAGGATTAGTATCCATAATTAAAAGAGCGTTCTCTTAAGCAGTGTGAAAACTATTTTATGTCCTTGAATAACATTAGAAATATCTTCCAGTTGATATTAATATTCAGTAACTTACTGCAACAGGATCCACTTTGGAAAGTACGACGCAGTCAGAAGTTGGATATGTCAGCTAGGCTGGAATTACAATCTGCCCTTGATGCAGAAATTCGTGCCAAACAACTAGTTCAAGAAGAGCTTCGCAAAGTTAAAGATGCAAACATATCTTTTGAAAGGTAAAATGGTCTTTGGGTTCTGTAAGTTTTTAATGTGCTGCTTTAGTCTGTGTGCTAGGACAGTTAAAACTTCTTTAAAGTTGCCCCTTGTGCCAGGGCTATGATTGGACTTTGCCAGAAAGATCCTATTCAACAGCCTACACGTTTCTCTCTTAAATTCAGTGGCAATTCTAGGAAATTCTTGAGGTAACCATTAAACTGCTGTGAATGGCTTGGTAGCAACACATGGATTTTATACACCTGGGGAAAAAAAAATGTATAACAGCATATTCAGAGCAAATCCAATAGCTTTTCATGGGGTATTTCATGTCCACTGTAGAGTGGACATCTTGGAAAGATAAGGCCAAGGTACAGTTAGAATTATTTTGTTTGGCAAATATCTGCAATGATAGCAGGAGTCCTAAGTGCAGTTTTCACTCTCCAGCCAAGTGGTGAGATGCCAGCTCATGGAAAAAGTTAGATTAATCAGACTGGAAAAAAAAGAGGTGGAGGTGGGGGGCGTTATCCAGAACTCTTGAGACATTGGGTCAGAAAGGAACATCATGTATTTTGGGAGATTTCAGATCCTATTATCATCATGTTTTGTTGCTTTAGTAAATTAAAGGAATCAGAAGCAAAAAATAGGGAACTGTTAGAAGAAATGGAAGGCTTGAAGAAAAAGCTGGAGGAAAAATACAGAACTGATACAGGTAAACAACATCTCTGTGTTTTAACAGAATTCTCATAGCATTTGTGAAGCAGGAAAAGCACCTGTGAAGCCCTTTAGCTAAGTCAGTCTGTTTTGTTTTGTTTGTTTTCTAGGTCTTAAACTTCCAGACTTCCAAGATTCCATTTTTGAATATTTCAACACCTCTCCTCTTGCACGTGATCTGACTTTCAGAGTGAGTCATTACAGCTGAACTTTATATTTGTTATTTAAAAGTAACACTTAGCCCCAATGTAATAATTTTGGGTCCAGTATATGTAAAATATGGAAGTCAAAATAGAATGTCAGTGCATTGAATTGGATGTCATGTTGATATCAGATTGCATAGTCTTTTGCACGTTTTTCTCCCCACTTTTGGGGAATATTCCCAAAAGCTCGCTTTAATTATTTTTTTGTTCTAGTTTGTTTATTTTGGTTAATCTCAAATCCTTGACTGAATAATATATATTCAGGTTTTTTAGAAGGGATATATCATACTCTCTTACAAGTAATAGATTACATGTTTTGCAGTTAGGACATTCCAGTTAATATAAGAAAAAGTATTAATGAAGTTCAAAAAGAATGTATATACAGATATGTAAAAGTCTTGGCTCTAGATCTTAATGGAATGGTTAAAGTAGAAGGAACTGGGAAGAGAATCAGAGAATCTACAGATGTTGGTATAATAAGTTTATCGTGACACACCCTCTGATCCTTAGAAAACTAATCATACAAATGATGGCTCCAAGTGGGCGTTTCATGTAAAAAAGCTTGTACATCCCCTGAGGAAGCAGCTGTTAAATGCAACATTAACTTACATTTCCTTACCTCATGAACTCTTGATCTTTAAGGAGTTTCTGGGATTTTTTTTTTAAATAGAATGCACAAAACAATTTAGGATAATATCAAGAACCAGCCATGGAAAGAATAATCTGGTATATTTATGGAACTAATTTAAAGTGGGTCAGATTAATACCTCATTGGTCAAGTTAGATTTTGTATCTGAGAGGTGCACTTGTATTTTTTTCAGAGTGTTACCATTGTCAGAAAGAAAAAGCATATGGGCATACTATGCTATAGACATCCCTTGTGCGTGTGCTGCTTCCAGTCACAAAATGCCCTTCCTGCTGGAGCTGCAGGATGTGCTGTGCTGGGGTGGCAGGAAAAGACAGCAACATGCAAACAGCAGCATGGTAGACTGTCAAGTCCATAACCAGTCGGGACTCCATTCTGCAGATCAGGCAGTAGATACTGTCACTGTGGGAACGTAGGTGGTGTTTTCTGATGAACTACATGAAAATTCATGATACTGAACTTAATGACTTCCATTAACAATTTGTTTTACATATACTTACAAAGATAGTCCCTGTCATCTGCTTTGGGTTAATTTAGTCTGTGAAAAGATCATTCAGCCATATAAACATTTTATTTAGCTAGCCTACTAATATTCCATCTGAAGTTTTCCTGTGGGTGATAAGTGATCATTTTTATCCCTCATATCCATTACAACAAAGGATTCTGTTTCTTCTTCGTCTACATCTTCTCTGCTAGCCTTTTGGGAAGAAGTAAGTTCTTGCTGGTAGTTTTGTCTACTTCTTTTTGTTGTGACCTGTCATAGTAAAAACGGCCTTCTAAAACTAGTAGACATTTTGCTCCCTTAACGTTTCTATAGCTTAACCAACTAAACAGAGCTAGTTTAGTTTTCCCTCTTTAATACCTCTTTACGGGCTTATTATTCTGTATTTTGACTCTATTACGGCTAAAGCTGAATCATGTTTATTGTTTTTAAACAGTTCGTATTACATGATGGTATAATTTGTTCTTTTTCAGTGGCCCAGTTCTACCAATCAATTTATAACAAAAATAACAAATATCTGAATATATTTAGTGAGCTAACTGAACTGAGCCATTTTCCTGTCTAAACAGGCTGGGAAGTGAGTGATTCATTAGTCATTGCCTTGGAGCTAATTACATCATTTATGTGAAGCCTAATCTGATGTTTGTTAATCGTGATTTTCATGATGTCCTCAGAGTACAGTAATAGAGTATCCTGGTTCCACACCCAGCTTCTTTAGCTCTGGAATTGTAGCATACTTCCCCCTTGTGCTGACAATTAGTAGGTGCTAATGTAAGTGTGAAATAAATAGAAGGCTTGTAATGGATGTTGGTCTTTTTTTTTTTCTGTCAAACAGAAGCCAATATGATTAAATAGACATGATTATTTTAATGATAAAGATGGTAATAGAATTGTCAATCGTTTTAAACAGCTTCTAATTATATAAAGACTGCATAGCAGCACTTTGAGAATTTTTCTTGTGGCTGAATTGGTGACTGCTGTGTTGTAGTAAAAATTAAGTGTAGTAAATTACCATGAGAAGTAAGCTGCTCTGTGGATTATTGCCAAGCTTCTCAGACGTCATTCCATACCTGCATGCAAGAGATTAGAGGCAGTCTTGCTGGGAATAGAACACTTTTAAGGCATATATGCTGCCTCCTCCTAGGTTTTATAATCCAATACTTTATAATTTTTCCATCAGGTAGTAGGATTTGTTTTGAGGAAAGTTTTATTCTTTGTTTTGTTTTGTCTTTTGTTTTGCGGCTTTTTTTGAGAGAGAGAGAGAGAGAAGATTTGTTTTTAGAGAGCTGACATTTTAGATGTATGTTTACTATATACAGAAATCAAGATTACTTTTTTTTTCCTGTGAGTTAATACTTGTAGCTACTTTAATTTATTTTATTTTGTGGGCATAAGAACATTTTATCAGATCTGTGGTATCTAATCTATTTTGTTTGCTGTCACTTTTTCAGACCAGTTCTATTAGCGAGCAAGAAACACAGGGTCCCAAATCAGAAGTTTCACCATCTACTTCAGTTATAACTGCAGAGCAACAACAAGAAGTAAGGCAGCTGTTATTTTATCCTGAAGAGTAATTAAGTAGAGTCTCTGTATGTATAAATCATTATAAATATATACTGCAGCATTCATTATGAAGAGCAGGATTGGATGTTGCTTATTTGTAATGTGTCAGTGTTAATTGCACCTGCTTTGAGGACAGTTGCAAACAGAACCTTCTCCCTGGCTCTATGTACGTTGATGTTTCTCATTTTCCTATGTTTTCTGTATTGCTGCTTGTTTGTTAATGTGCAGGCTTTCCTGTGAGTGCTTTAAAACACAATCTGCTTTTAAAAATCAGATTAAATCAAAATGCCAGTGTTTACAACAATTAATTTTTTGATGATTTTTCAAAAAGTAAAAAAAAAGGGGGAGTTGGGAACCAGTAATCTTTGCCACCCCAATTTTAAAACAAACTCTTGAAGCCTCATTTTGCTAAATTACAATTTTTTGTGATTCAGGATCCAATTCGGCTTCAGAGGATGCCTGCTGCTCCTTCCCCCACCATTCAGTCCATTTCTCTAGCTGTACCAAAGGTAGGGGGACTGTGCTAACCTTATTTTGAAGAACTAAGAAAACATGGTATCACTTATAGATTAGTCATCCATGCTTGTTCTTGTCCTGTTTGGGTTTGTCATGTGGTGCTTGTTTGTTAGGTCTGTGTTAATCAGATGACCCCAAATGCAAGTTTTGATGGATGTTGATTTGTCTGAAGGAACATCAGAAAAAGTATTTGGTTGTATGTTCGTATTTAAATATCTTCTGCAAATGGAAATAAAGGATGTTATTTTGTCTTGCAGCACCTTCTGTAAGCTGCATTTAATTAAAAGAAGTCCAGATTCATGACATACACTCTAATATATTAGAGGGTCATTGGGGCAGAGGTGCTTTCATTACAGAAATACAGAAACTGAAAACTTTTTACCCCGAATGTGTCTTTCAGCCTAAAGCTCATCAGCTCAATATCAAGTCATTTACAAGCCCTACTCAGTGTAGTCACTGCACCTCTCTTATGGTGGGATTAGTTCGACAAGGTTATGCCTGTGACGGTGAGTCAGTTAACCTTTCTGTTTTCAGCAGTCTGCAGTTCTCTCTTAAAAAATGCTCCAAAACGTTAATATACTTTAGGGCAACCATTTCTTTGGTCAGAAAGGCAAAGGCATGGCTATGACTGAATGTTTCTCCTTGCTTTCTTGCATTATCAGACTTCTAAAGTAAACAAATTCAAGCTTTCATGGTCCTTTCATACTACTAATTGTGCTATAATAGTGTGAGCTGGAAGGGTTTCTTAGTGTATAATGTTGCACAGGAGACTGTGGGAATGCTATGGTAACATGTTAATGTGAAACTATTTTTTGCTCTCCTGATTGTGAACTCTGTTCTGGAGAGCTTTTTGGCTTCTAGCCTGCCTTGCTGTTTCTTAGTTTTATTTAGAAGGCTTTCTCTGATGCATGTTTCACTATTGAACAGCAAGTGTGAGTATTTGGGGATGAACAGTTACCTGTGCCTTGATTAGACACATGAAGTCAGAAGTATTTCACAAATTGATTCAAAATGCTGCAGTATAAGTGATCTTCCTGCATCCCTGTGCCTTGCTTAGTCCTTGCTGGTAGCACTGCCTCCACTGACACCTTCAGCACTGTGTCCAGTTTGCAGCATCTGCCCTTCAGTTCCTGGCAGGACTATGGGCAATTCTTCCCCTGCAGCACCTGCTGCTCTGCCAGCACTTGCCCTGGGGCTACTTTTTATCTCATGTCGCTGACAGTTGTGAACTTTGTTTTCCATCTTTTCCCACAAGTTTGGAAGTTTGGAGCATGCTGCTCTCTCCCCTCTCCCCTTCTTTTTTCCTTAGTGCATCTATCAACTTGATAGATGTCCATCATTGTCTTTTGATTGAGCATTGCAACATAACTTTCCCCGTTTGGCTTTTTACTGCACATTTTGATAGCTGCAGAACAAACTAAAATCACATTGACATCACCTCAGCAGAACAAAGTTTTTACCCTGAACAACCCCAATCACTTGTGCTCCCTAATTCCTTCTCTTCTTAGTACTGATGACTACACCAAAATACAGCAGTGCCAACCCTGCACTTTTGGAGGTCAGTGGAACTGGCTGTATCCTGTGCCTTTCCCTATTCTCTGACCCGTGTGCCTTGATTTGCACAGTCCCAATAATTATGATGCCTCCTGAAAGAGGTGAATTTATTATGTGGTTGCGGGCAGCACCTCGAGTGCTTTGTGTGTGACCCCCAGTTCTCCTGCCAGCAGGAGGCTGTGGCTGCAGGAACGAGCCAGGCAGCCTGCTCTGGGCTGCCCCTCTCCTGGCTGTCTAGCTGTGTGCATTCCTTCAGCAGAGTGGGCTATTAACAAATTTGACTGGCAATTTCAGTGTAATTAACTTGCTGTTTGTGAGAGTAGACTGCATTCATTTCCTGTTATGACTGGCTCGTATGCACATATCACAGTGGATTTTCTCTTTTGTATTTAGTGTGTTCATTTGCATGCCATGTTTCCTGCAAGGATAGTGCACCCCAAGTCTGTCCTATCCCCCCCGAGCAAGCCAAAAGGCCTCTTGGAGTAGATGTGCAAAGAGGAATAGGAACTGCATACAAAGGTTATGTCAAGGTGAGTCCTGTGTTCTTTGCAATACTAAACTTCACTTACCGGTATGGAGCTTGGAAGCTCTCAGTGTGTTGAAACGTCTCAAACTGTACTAAAGCCTCAAGACTTTGTGTGTAAGCTCTGTAGTGTATTTAGCACCTAGGATTTAGAAAGAGGGGGTTTTACTAGGAGTAAGAGCTGACGAGTGGACATTTTAGCTGCCAGAAGAAAACTTGTTTTAAGGAAAAATTTATATCGTAATATAGATGTAAACATAATTATTGATGTAAATTGATGTATTATTGATGTAAACATAATAGAAAAGTTAAACTATCCTACCATTTTAGCGTTTGAGGACTATACAGACCAAATTACTTATTGGAATATGTTTTTATTTGTTAAACTGAAACAGAAGGAAAAACAACTGCTTGGTTTCTTTTTTTTTTCCTCTGTGTTGAAAGGCAAATAAAATGTATTCTAATTCCATTGATCTAAATATGAGCTTTTCTCAACGTCCCTTCTTTCTGTGTCTGCTATATGTGTTTACATATAATAAGTAATCACTTATTTACATGCAGGTTCCAAAGCCTACAGGAGTTAAGAAAGGGTGGCAGAGAGCTTATGCAGTTGTTTGTGACTGTAAACTCTTCTTATATGATGTGCCTGAAGGAAAATCTACCCAGCCTGGGGTTGTTGCAAGTCAAGTCTTGGATCTCAGGTTTGTACTGCTATAGCACAGTAGAAATGCTCTGTATTTTTTCCTTAACAAGAATATTAATGGTAATGTGTAAAAAGCATTTCATCATAAGAGCTCTGGTCTGAGATGACTCGTGTTCTGAATGTATTATGCCTCAACTAAGTTGAGACTGAAAGAACTGACATAAAAATGATAATTCAGTTAAGTGAATATGATTCGTAAGGAGCATGCTAATACTACAGAATTCCATGCGCCCAAATGGAAAACAGATGAACTTTGGAAGACTGGTCCTTCCCTGCACTCTGAGTGAGAGTCGCACGCCACTCCATACCCAGTAATTTCAAAATCGTTAAAAGAAACTAACTAGTCTTCAGAAAAGGAGCAACTAATACACCATACAACTCCGAACCTCCTTCCTTATAGAAGTCATTTTTTCCTAATGAACAATTTTAACACTGAGCACTGTCTACAGAAGATCTTGTATTTATGCTCATGAGAGTAACCAAGATTAGTTTTAACTCCAGTTTACTGAAATGTCTAGAAAGTGCAATACCCTGTAATGTTACAACATCTTCTGTCTGCTCAATAGAAAGTTTACCAGCAGTTTGATTTATATTTCTTCTGAACACTCTTGCCATGGGGTTGCACTAATACTGCTGCTCAGTTTTCAGTTATTCTGAGAGCTGACACTGATGGTTCCTTTTGACATGCCAGCAGCAGGAACAGAGATGTTGGATGTATTGCAAATAACTGTGTTCGTATCAGTACGTTGCTTGAAGCAGCTCAGCCAGATATTATACTAACTGTCCCATGCTTTATCTGCTGGTTGTAGCAGCCTCTTCAAGTCTGTCTTCTGAGGATTCTTAGATGTTTTGGTAGACATTTACCACAGCAACTATGAATTCTAGCATGGGCAAGTTTCAGGCATTAGTGTCATCTTTGCATTAAAATTGGCAATTATGGTGATCAGCTTGGTCAAATGCAGTTAAAAAGTCTTGTATAGACAAGCCCTTGGGGGTGGAGCACTGTGAAATGCAAAAGCTGTTCTGATGTCTGTTTATTTTACTGTAATAGAGAATAAAATCTAGCCATTTTGAAAACCCTTATTTGAATCCCACAAACTATAATTATGTTGCCAAGAGCTTTTTATGTGATTTTTCTTTTTTTCCAAAGGCCCCTCTCTTGCTACACATTGAGGTATGAATTATTCATTTCTAATGTGTCTGCTGGGCTGGAAGAGCAAATTTCTTGCTGCTAATTGTAGAATAGGTGTGGTCAGTAAACCAGAGACTACACAAAGGCAGCCCACTTGGCTTCAGGTGGACTGAGCTACAGTTACTGAATGCTGTAGAATCAGAACTAAAGCGTGAGCTCTTTGGGTCAAGACCAGCTCCTAGCCTAACAAAGCAGTGCTCCCAGTTGTGACCTCTGTGCAGTGTTAGGAGATTGTTTAAACAGTTGCGGTATCAGTTAGATTTTTGTTTAATTTTTGTGTGTTTGCACATGGATATAATTCTGTTGTTCCCTTTCTTACTAGAGATGAAGAGTTTTGTGTGAGCTCTGTCCTGGCATCAGATGTAATACATGCAACTCGTAAAGATATCCCTTGTATATTCAGGGTATGGCAATCACTTCATTCTTAAGGAAAATGCAAGTTAAAATTTCGGTGTTGTGTTTTCATTGTGAAGTATGCTCTGTGTTTAGTGTTTATAAGTATTAAGGAAACTGCTCATTGCAGAAGTATTAGAATTTATAAGAAGTGCTGAAATGTGTAGAAAAAATTATCTGTGTATAATTGTAAAGAACAATGTGAGGACAATGTAAAGAACACCTCTCTTTCCTGCTTTTTTTTGGTATATTATTTTTTATCCATTTCATTAAAATTCAGTCACATTAGTACATGTACATTAGTACATCTTCCACTGCAATTCCTGGGTATTGTTTTAGTTTTAGAGGACTTAGCTTTGGGGACGGATGCTATAACAGAGTAGAAAAATACATTAATAATCAGTAACTGTAATCCCTTGCACTTGGATGCAGAAACTCACTGTTTTCAGCTGCAGCTCTGATCAGTCATTCATTTGATCCTTTAGGGTTTTGCTAAGGAAATGTCTTGGCTAATTCATGCTTCTGTGGCTTTGCTAGCTATTTTGTGGGAATAATTTCTGCAGTGGATTTTCTATCTTCAGTTTACTATTGCTGCTGCTTATTTTTCCCTCTTACTGATTTCTAAATCTATCTTTTATTCACATCTTCTTACCCTCATCTCAAATTAGCAAATGCTGAGTACTGTGGAGAAAGGAGTCCTGAGGACAAAAGATGAGCTCTGCAGAATGGAGGTTGATTTGTTTAAGAGCAGGGCATCCACACAGTATAGCCTGCTTGAATTGATTCTCTCATTTTTGCCTGTCCTTTTTAGCTGAAAATGCATCTAACTGCAAAAGAGAAAGGAAAAAAAAAATCCCAAACAATCCTCATATATAAATACTTCTGTGAATGAACATGATAAACTGTCTCCCCAGTTTGACAAGATTATCCCACACTGGGGATATTTGATGAATTAACTAAAAACCTGGTGTGTGAGAATATCTGCTTAGATGCCCCATTGTCAGGGACCAGAGAAAATACTGCTAATAGTGTATCTCTTTTCTCTGTTATGTCCTTTTATAAAGAAAGAATTCCTACAACTGGAGACCAGAGACATCTGATGCAAGATAATTTATTCTCTTAATTAAATTTAACTCACTGTGAACATCATATCTCCTATGTTTGTGTCTCATTAACATAATGCCATAGGATAACATAGCCAACAGTTTAAAATAGTTTATATTTAAAATGTTGATATTTAGTTACAGTTCAGCACATGTGCAAACCTTACAGAGTAATACAAGCTATGAGCAAGTGCAAGCCTGTCAGTTCTTTTCTACTGCATTTTTCCATCTTTCTATCTTTCACATTGCATTATCCTGAAGCTATTTGGAGACTTTCTTTAAGAAAAATGGTGGGTTTTCTTTTGCAGGAATAAAGAGCCCGAAGGTGTTTTATTCCATGTATTAATAGTTACAGCCTGCAGTTTTGCACTGCTGTTTTTTCTGCTGCCTAACTACTGTTATTTTTGTGAGGCCAGATACCATTTGATGCCCTTTCTGTGACTTAAAACAGTGATCTTTTCATACAGGTCACAAACTAGTATTAAAAATTAATAAGCACACACTGTGACCGACAGATGGTTCCTGGGTAGATTTCCTGTTCTGAATGCATCCTGCTTAGCCCTCTATTGGATAATTTCCCTGAAAATAAGATGAAGCTACTGTGGTTTTGTTTTAACTTGGGGAAGGGGAAGAATGCAATATTTCACTCTCAAAAGATTGCTTTTCCCCCTGAGCTTTTAATGAAATTTGAATATGAAATATGAATTGCTCTTTCTGGACATGTTTTTTGAGAAATAAGCAAAAAATCAAAATCTAGAACAGATTGTAGTAGTACAGTTGATTAAACACATCTAATTCATAATGCATTTCATTTTCAATGTTATTAAAAATTAGGGGACTGGGGGGGAGGCTTCAAGACAAATTATTGCATACTACTAAAATTCCAGTTCCAAGCAGAAGTAGCCTTTGACTCACATGTATTTAATGGTAATTGTAAGACAGGAATGTAGCATTTCTTGCCCATGTTTTAGGATTTAAAATGACTAGACTGAATATTTTTAAACAAAAACATTGAAACTTGTGCATTTTTTCCAAGAACTGTGGAATATTAGGTGTGTGCTGATTTTCATACTATTTCTGTGCATTTTAACATTATTACGAAAAAGTGCATTTTGCTTTCAACAGCTCTGTAAAGTATATCATATAGCAGTAAAAGTCTATTGTCAGCAAGATGTTAATTTTGTTTTCTCTCTGTTAAAAGGTGACAGCTTCTCTCTTAGGTTTGCCTTCAAAGTCTTGTTCTCTGCTGATCCTGACAGAAAATGAGAATGAGAAGAGAAAGTGGGTTGGAATTCTAGAAGGGTTGCAATCTATTCTGCACAAAAACAGGCTGAGAAACCAGGTTGTGCATATTCCCCAGGAAGCCTATGACAGTACACTGCCTCTTATTAAAGCAAGTTTGGCTGCTGCTATTGTAGGTATGTTCGTTTAACTATTATGGAGTATGTGTGAATGCTAAAGCTTTTAGGTAGGAATCTGTAGTGAAAACATGGATGCCTTGAAATAAATTTCTCAAGGTTAAATACCTTCATAGGAATTTAATAATGAGGGAAATGATAATGTTGCATAATCCTTGAGTTTCTCCAGCCACTTGTAGTAAATAATACTGTTTAGATAATTAAGAGATTGTTTTTGCAAAACAGTAAATATTTTATAACATACTTTTGAAAGGTAAACTGCATAAACTTGAATAAAACTGACTCTCTGCTCAAGATTGTTCAGTTAGTTTTTTGTCTAGAAAGTTTCTACCTGCTCAAAGGAGAAGGGAGTTCTGTCTGTTTCAAAGATAACATCAAGCACAACTGAATTAACATTTTCTCCCCTCCTTGTTTAGATCGAGATAGGATAGCAATTGGTTCAGAAGAAGGACTGTATGTGATAGAGGTGACCCGTGACGGTAAGTGAGGCCATAATCTATGCAGTAATTACATAAAGAATAATGAGCACCATAACTCTTAGTGCTGTTTGAATATAGGTGACACAACAGCCCTTCATATATAGTGAGTACTAAGCACTCAGTTAATTGAGAGGGAAAAGTGACTGTGAGAGATAAACACTAATTTGGTCATTATAATTATATTCAGTTGACTGGCTGAAATTAAAGGGCCAAGTGCAGGGCATATTCTGACAAGTTCTCACCTGAGCTGTGTTTCCACAGCACACAGCAAAGTGCTTCAATACTCAGAGCACACGCTGCAGCAGCTGATGCCCAGTGAATAGTCGGGCACTTAGTAATAGGACAGTGTTAAGTGATGCAGATTAAACGTTAGTCTGCTTTTCTGATAACCTTTCTGAAGCTAACGTTAGGAAATACTAGTTTTTATGCTTTCATAAGCAGCCACAGCCACCTTGTGAAATCCATGCTTTCTTGTAACTCCTGAGCTGCTTTAAGTTTAGAAGACACTCTAAATCCTACTCCTCATGGCATACAAGCTAACAGCCTTTGCTATCTGATAGGCCTGTTTCTAGCGAAATACTTAACAATAATGTTTTCTTCACCCGTGTTCATAGCCTCTACACTTAAGTTTTCTGTTTAACCACCTTTAGCCATCTATGACCTAGGGATGGTGAGGTCGGTGGTGCAGATTTGCAAAGATAAAAGGTGCTTTGGTCCCTTTGCCCCAACTTTGCCTAAATTGCTGTGACAGTCTCCTAAAAAAATACAACAGTAAATACAGTTCTTAAAATCTTACTGCACATGCCAAGTAAAAATGAAGTTTAAAAAAAAAGTCAGGAATGTGGTTTTGAGGTAAAAAGCAAAAAGTTATTGCTTCCTCTCACTTGAAATAAGCTATTGCCCAATTCTAGGAGAAACTGGTTTATATATGGAGACGTCAGATATTTGAAATTCTTTTTTAGCAGTACTAAATGCCATTCCTTTGAATATACTTCCAGTGGTCGCCATTCTGCAAATACCTAGATATAAACATGAGAGGCAAGAAATTCCAGAGAGATTCCAGTGCAGTTTTTAACATGAGTCAAATTATATATCTAATTTGAAAAACCATTTTAGAAAGAAACAATTATCTGCACCACTGTATCACATGTAAAAATGAAAACAGGTTGTCAACTTCAGGTTTAGGTTAAAAATTGCTTCTCATGAGTCTTCTATGGACAGTTTCTGTGTTAATAGCATTTTTATGAATGGCGCAGTCTGATAGTAGTTGTTACTGTCAGTGTATGTTAACTGCCAGCTGCTTTTATCAGGGATCTTTGGTTCTGTTATCAGGTCATTCTTCACAAATACACTAAACTATACACTGGAATTGGAACTAGAGGAAAGCCTTTTGCTGTGTGGTAAAGCAGAACCATTGGTTATTTTGAAGAAAAATATCTTCAGACATATCACCTGTTTGAATAAGTGATAGAGCATGGTGGAAAATCCAAACAACACTTGGTTTTGTGATCTAAACAGTCAAGTTCTTGTAACAAGTTTACTGCTTATTTTGGTACCCTGGCTAGGCTACTCGACCATTACTGAAAAAATGCATAAGATTTCCAGTTAATATTTCTTGTTTTGATTATGATTCACAAATATTTTGAATTCATTCAGCCAACAGAAGAATGAATGTGATGCTTTAATAAAACTGGCTTGTGTATATTGTGCATAGTTCCCTATTTAAGAATTGCTTAGTCTTTTCTGTGTATACCTCTTGAAATACTGCCTAATATACCCGTTATCCTGAAAGCAGAACAGGATGAACCTAACCCTTCTAGCTGCACCTAATCCATTCTGGAAAAGCAATTTGCACACAGTGAAGATTCCCCAGTTTCCATAGGTGGCCTAGCTAGACTTTACTATTAAGCTTTTCTCAGTGTCTCTGCTCCCTTGCTGCAACTTAAGTGCATTGTGACTTACCTGGAGCTATTACCATTGCTCCAGGACATGCAGCATTTTTTTGCCTTCTGCTTTAGTTAATAAAAATCCACTCATTGCATTGCATTTTGTACTGGGATGAGATAGTTTCTAGCAATACAGCATTTTGTGTCTTCAGTTCACAGCGTTAAATACTTTATTTTTTTCTCTCTTGAGCTCCGAATTCTATCTTCTGCAATAATTTACTGAGGATATCAATCTTTTTTCCTGAATAGGAGACCACTTTCAGGTGTTAATCGTGCAGTGTATTGATATAGCAGGGATGATAATATTCATACTTTTTTTTTTTCCTTTTACCCTGAAGTAGTCTTTTTATTTCGCTTAGTGTTGCTGAGACTTTGTGTCAATGTAAGAGTTAAAGGCATATCTATGAGAACTCATAAAAGAATGCCCAGGATGCCTGCAATAAGGGCTCTTTCTTACCAGGGCTGCATCTGTGTCTAGATTCATTTTCTGACACCAGTACATGATGCTGCACGGCCTGGTAATTTCATTGTTTTAACTAAGAGTTGCTCTTGTTCTCTTTGTAGTGATAGTCCGAGCTGCTGACTGTAAGAAGGTGTACCAGATAGAGCTTGCTCCCAAAGAGAAAATCATCATCCTCCTCTGTGGTCGGAACCACCACGTTCACCTCTACCCCTGGACCTCTCTGGATGGATCAGAAGGAAGTTTTGACCTGAAGCTTGCAGAAACTAAAGGCTGCCAGCTGATCATAACTGGAACACTGAAGAAAAGTTCTTCAACTTGTTTGTTTGTGGCTATCAAGCGGCAGGTTTTTTGCTATGAAATTCACAGAACTAAACCTTTCCACAAAAAATTCAGTGAAATTCAGGCTCCAGGGACTGTACAGTGGATGACATTGTTCAAGGACAAGCTTTGTGTTGGCTACCAGTCTGGGTTCTCTCTCTTGAACATCCAGGGAGATGGACAATCTATAAACCTGGTAAATCCTAATGACCCCTCGCTTATGTTCCTCTCACAGCAGTCTTTTGATGCCCTTTGTGCAGTGGAGCTCAGTAATGAGGAATACCTGCTTTGCTTCAGCCATATGGGAATATACGTCGATTCGCAAGGTCGAAGGTCACGCATGCAGGAGCTAATGTGGCCTGCAACTCCTGTTGCCTGTAGTATGTATATGTTTTTCTGTTGCCATATCCCTGTTGCTGCTTTACTTGTCTAAAAATAACCGGCATGTACTCTATTTTCGCTTTGGTTTGTCTTTTAAGATCTACAGTTTAAGTGTTGATGAGTGCCCAGGCTCCGTAGTTCTTCCTCGTGGTGTTTTCGGACTGGGCAATTCCTTGCTCAGAGATCAAGGAAGTCACAAGAAAAGAAGCTCTGTTCGGTTAAAGGACACAGAAAAAAATAATGATATAACTCCCAGTCTCTTACACAGAGGGTAGCCCTGGATGCATGACAGAGCAAGACTACTGATTTCCGCAGAACTGGTTGTGATTTGCTCCTTTTTGTTTTATTTTTAGGGAGAGTTTCCAAAAATAATGCAGGCAGCTGAAGTCAGATTTTCAATTGCTCTCCTTGGGAATGTAGATTTACCAGCTAGTTAGGACAGAAGCACTTCGGGGGCTGAGGATAGGATTCTGTTTGGGTTCAATAGTCAAAGGCAGGTCATGATAAAACCTGGCTTTCTGTCTGGGGCTCAAAAAGTAATTAGTGTTTGGAGTGACTGAACACAAGAAATAGTCTTTGGTTAAAAACTACACTGAGCCGTTAGATGCCTGTTGGTTTAATCAGACTAGACCCTGATAATTTGTTTAATTGTCTTGAACTGAAATTGTTTGCTTGCTTTACCTAGTTCTGTGCGGAAGTTTAAAGCAAACGTGCAAAGAAATAGTCACAAATTTACTTTACAACACCATTAGCCAAAGTGAATGTGTTCCTTAATCAGCACTGCACTTCTTGTATGGCAGCAAACCAGGGGTGTTAGCTGATTGTTTTGCCTGTTGTTATTACCATGAGGTGTTATTACTGTAAACTATTTAACGCCGTTCTTGCCTGGGTGATCCCAAGAGACAGCGGCCTGGGCAAGGTTTTTCTTTTTCCCCTTTTTTCTTTGCTAGTAATGGCAACCATGTCCCCTGCCAAAGGAGATTCGATGGCTTCCCTTGTCCTGAGCCTTGCCTCCCTTGCCCAGGCCCGGGCTCTGCCACCAGCCTGACGGCTCTGCTGCCCTCCCTGTTGGCTGCTGTCCCCTCAGGGTGTCAGCGGCGGAGACGCAGATCTCTCCCCGTTGCAGGTCCTGGCCATAAAGAACCGTGTTGTTGAGGGACGGTAGGATATGATGAAGACTTTGTAGGGCATTCAGTCACCCTGTGGCAGGTTAGACATTCGTGTCACGTGTCTTTTGGGGTACACATTCATGGTAGCTGTCCTGGCTGCCTTGGAGGGAATTGAAAAACACACCACAAACCTTATTTCAGTCCTCGAGAGGAGATTTCCTGGTGTGTTTGGTCTTCTGCTGCTCTTTTCTTCTGTTTGACTGAGGCAGTGTTCTCGGCCCTCTCCTTGATTGAGTCCATACATTTCTAGTAACTGCTCTTTGCTTCAGGATCTTTGAGAGGAAAAGCATGTTGATATGAAGTGATAATAGCCATTTTTCTTTTGAATTAAAATAACATTTTTTGCTGGCGCCTTTTGTTTTAAGGAAAGTGAAAAAAAAGTTTAAAAGAGAAAGCAGGTTGTAGAGCTTTGCCTGCTGTGACCCTTTTCTGCCAAAGCTGGTAGGAGCAACCCCACAGGAATATCTAAAGCTGGATGGTGGTTAGGCAGAAAGGAAGGAAACGTGAGGGAGCTCCCAGCAGGGCTCCATGAGCCACCTGGCCGAGGGTCCCTGCCCCGTCCCTGGCGCCCAGCCATGGAGTTTGTTGCTTCCAAAGTGCAGCAGTCGGAAGCTGTAAACAAGCTGGTCTCAAACAGGCCCTTCAGTTCCTACTAAATAACAAATGTGTTTCCATTCTGAACCTTCAGGCACCATTTTGCAATTTAATTAATCAAAATTTGGAGTTAAAAATGCTGAAATTTAAATCTATGATGCTAGCAGTTATAGCAAATTTATCAAAATATTTGTTTGACAACGTGCTTGACAGGGAGGGGAGTGTCTTTAAGGCAACTTACACATAGTGGAAAACCTGCAGCTACTAAAATTTACTCAAATTTATGTCAAGTCTGGACTTCTGAAACATCATTATGGTCTTCTGTTTGTTTTTTTAAAATATGCAGGTTGTAATTCTTCATATGTAACAGTGTACAGCGAGTATGGGGTTGATGTATTTGATGTTAACACTATGGAATGGGTCCAGACTATTGGCCTGCGAAGGGTAAGTAGTTTTCCTCCAGTGTAGCATCTGAATGGGTTAATTCCAAATGAGAATTTTCTTTGCAGTGTATGCTAGGCTTCAGTTAATTCCTTGCCTCTTCCTCCTTCAAAACAGATCAGGCCATTAAACATGGATGGAACACTAAATCTCCTTAACTGTGAGCCACCAAGGCTAATATATTTCAAGAACAGGTTTGCAGGTGAGTATTGAGCAAGACAGAATGGGAATATGTTACCGAAGTGGCTAGGTAATTTTAAACACTGTTACTTATGTGTGGATGGAATGTGTATTGGCAACTTCTGGATCAGCGGGTACCTATGTATGTAAAACTGTGATATTACAGCAGGAGGTGTCCTCAGCGTACCAGAAACATCTGACAACAGCAAAAAGCAAATGCTTCGAACTAGG